TGAGAAATTTCTCATCAAACGTGAGCAGCGAGAAGCCTTTTCGAAGGAGTTATCGTATATTCGCTCACCCAGCAAACTAGTCAAGCTCTCGTCAAAACTAGTTAAACTAGATCCGATGCTGGACGATGGAATTATGAAGGTAGGAGGAAGATTAGATAGATCCAATATGACGTATGAAGCGAAACACCTGATCATCTTGCCCAAAAACTCGAGGATCGCAAGACTGATCGTAGCAGGTGTGCACAAATCCAATGGCCATCTAGGCAAGAACACCATCCTGTCTATCGTCCGACAGAAATATTGGATACTAGGGGCTTCCGACTTAGTGAAATCAGTGACATCCAAGTGCGTCTTATGTTGGAAATATCAAGCCCCTCTACAGAAACAGAATATGTCAGATCTTCCTAAAGAGAGACTAAGATCCGATCAATCGCCCTTTTCAGAAGTGGGTATGGATTACTTCGGACCTTTCGAAATGAAACGCGGAAGGTGTTTGATAAAGCGGTATGGTGTTATATTTACCTGCTTGGTTTCTAGAGCCGTCCATCTTGAAGTTGCGTCGTCTTTGGATACCGATTCCTGTATCAATGTCATAAGAAGGTTTATTTCTAGACGCGGGAAACCGAACTTCATCAGGTCGGATAACGGGACCAATTTCGTTGGCGCGGAAAAGGAAATGCGAGCATCCATCGAAACGTGGAATACTGATCACATCCGTGACAATCTTATGCAAAAGGACATTCATTGGGAATTTAATCCTCCCTCGGCCTCGCACTTTGGGGAATCTGGGAGCGACTAATCGTGCGCAAAGTGCTCTACGGTGTGATGCATCAACAAATAGTGTATCTGGACAATGAGGGCCTTCATACTTTGTTTTGTGAAGTGGAATCGATATTAAACGGAAGACCACTTACCGAATTACCCGACGGTCCTAACGATTTAGAAGCACTTACCCCGAACCATATTCTGTTACTGCGGCCTGGGGAATTGTTTCCACCCGGAACATTTTAATATACCGACAATTATGTTCGCCGAAGATGGAGACAAATACAATATCTGGCGGATATATTTTGGAATAGATGGACCAAAGAATACTTACCTCTTCTCCAACAAAGACAAAAGTGGTTTCGTGTGGAACGTAACATCAAAATAGGAGATCTGGTTCTCGTAGCTGACAATACTCCGCGAAATTGTTGGAGTCTTGGGAGAATCGTCGACGTTGAACAAGACTCCAATAAAGTTGTTCGTGTCGTTAAAGTAAAGACTGCTTCAACTACTTTGACGTGTCCGATATCCAAGCTGTGTCTACTTCTTGAGTCTGACTGTTGAAACCTAACTCTATTTTACGTGGTGGCATAAGTGGGACGGACTTGACATTATATGTATTTTTGACATTTGATTGTTCATTGGTTATCCTTATCTGTATTTACTTATGTCCATTCCTTTGAGTAAATTTCATTTAGGTAAGATAAAATTTAGGGGCTGGTGTAATGGACCTTACTAATCCGGATTTTTTGTTACCGGTTTGGTTTCGACTTTATTGTGATCTTTTGACCTTGGCGCGGCCATACTTGACTTGCAGCGAAACACGTTCTCTAGCTATACGCAATTTGACTCATATGACGATACCAGCAAACAAATTATGGCAAATATGATGCAAATATGTCGATTTAAATGCTTGTATCTTGAAATATCCTTTTTAATTGTTCTGATGTTGATTTAGGTGTTTCGTTCTATTTTTAGATTTGTAAACGATTGTGTCATGATTTGTGTATCGGGTACAGTAGTGCATATGTATAAGCATTTGGTAATTTTGATGTAGGGTAATTTCAGTGTATCTGGAGTATTGTGATTTTATTATTCTAAAGCAAGAATACTTTATTATGTTTGAAACCAATTTTATCGATTGATACAAGAAACTTCGTATGTTTAATTTTTGTCCTCAGTTAATCTTTTCTGCTTATGGAATCAGTGATGATGAATAAAGAAAGTAGAGACGAATTATCACATGAGCTGGTATGTTACTTGAACAACGAAGCTATACATCTGTCTTAATATGATGTTATACATCTATCTTAATATGATAGTATACATCTATCTTAATATGATTAAATACTTGTATAGTATTATGATACTACAAATCTGTCTTAATATGATAGTATGCATCTATCTTAATATGATTGTACATATCTGTCTAATATGATGCTATACATCTATCTTAATATGATAGTACAAATCTGTCTTAATAGGATAGTATACATCTATCTTAATATGATTGTACACATCTGTCTTGATATGTTATACATATATCTAAATATGATCAAACACATCTATCTTAATATGATGTTATACATCTATTTTAATATGATAGTATACATCTATCTTAATATGATTAAATACTTGTATCGTAATATGATAATACAAATCCGTCTTAATATGATAGTATACATCTGTCTCAATATGATAGTAAAACATCTATCTTAACATTACACTATCTAATCCGAAAACATACACGCGTTTAATTATACAGTTGTATATTACATGATCAATTAACATTAGCATGAATAATTCAATACCCTTAAATGTTTTAAGCGTCTAGATTCCTCGGGGCGTCCTTTGTTACTGCTCCCTCGCTCTACAAACCAGTACATGGACACAATCCTTATCTAACTTTTAAGTATGTCGATGTTTACATGTTTCAGGTTATGTTCTATAACCGTTTCAAAATTTCACCATTTTCACGACTACTTGGTAGTCAATGATTGCCGAAGGTTTACATTGTGGATGTCGTCGATAAAGTAGAAGGCTGTCCGAAACACCTTATATCATCGTCCTCCATCAATAAATTGGCACAGATTTCAGCAAATTGTAGTTTTCCCACAATTAAACCCTAACATTCTACCACACGCTTCACTGACGAGTACCAGAAGGACAACATGATGCATTCCTTTCTTAATGTTTTCAAAGTTTCGTCGATATTTTTGTTAAAATGTTTTGTTCTTAGTAATCGATCAGACAATATATGCTTAATCTGATTCCTCGATTGAACTAAAACTTCCGTTATGAAAACTAGAAACGTTAATGGTACCACATCGATACATACAGCTAGGGTGTTATAAAACAGGTATCTTACACTAGGACCTCTGTCTATATACGTGGTATTTCGTAATGTTCAGGAATATTATACACATGTTCATTTCCGTTTTGAGATCCCCTGTTGTAAAAAGAAGAGATAATATCATTTACGTTTTAATTTACTGATTAGCAAGGCGATATGTGTTTGTTAGCTTTTTCATTATATTGACATTCGAATGACATTACTTCGAAATAATCCACCAATGCAAATCATAAAAGCAATTGAAATATGGGGTCAATAAGTGCATCTCCTCACCCCCTATCCACCAGCACACAACACATCCAACCCAAACCCTGCCTTCGCATCAATAACTTGGCATTGATTTCAGCAAATAGTAATTTCACACAGTAAACCTCAAACATTCGGCTCACCCCTCACTGACGAGTACCAGGAGGATAACATAGTTGAGAGATGCAACCTTATCAATTTTTGTGTTTTTTTAATACAACCGTTTACTAAGAAATCGCGTATTTCCCAGTTTGTTAACTGATTCTCCGTACAAAATCGATTATATACTTACTTATTGACCACCTCGTAGTCCACTTGTTGGTGTAAAAGCTCTGTTAATAAAAAATATCAACACAAGATGTATATCATTTGTCACGTTAACCACAAATATCAACACAAAATGTATATAATTTGTCACGTTAAAGCACGTGTTAATAGCAAATATTAACACAATATTTATATAATTTGTCACGTAAAAGCACGTGTTCATTACAAATATCAACACAAGATGTATATAATTTATCACGTAAAAACACGTGTTTATAACAAATATTAACACAAGAGGTATATAATTTGTCATGTAAAAGCACGTGTTCATCACAAATATCAACACAAGATGTATATAATTTATCACGTAAAAGCACGTGTTAATAACAAATATTAACACAAGAGGTATATAATTTGTCACGTAAAAGCACGTGTTAATCACAAATATTAACACAATATTTATATAAATTGTCACGTAAAAGCACATTTATATACAAATATGAACATAATATGTATATAATTTGTCACGTGAAAAACACGATGATAGTGATAGTGTAGAGATATATGAATTATATAAAAACGTTTTCTTTATTAGTCTCAATGTTAAACCTGCATGCTACGTTTTAATTAATTCAAATATTTACACGATCAGAATATACATATGTATGTGACGCCCGTCTGTATTTATCAAATATATGATCATGATAACATTTATTGAATTATGGAACTTATGTACATCATTATTTCGATTTATCAATTTAGATTTTCCTCACTCACCCCCTAGTGGTTGAATTTTAGACCTTTAGCATCACCAATGAGTCCTAGAAGGACGATACAGCTTTTTGACACAGTTTCATAAATTGTCTGACTCTACTGTATCTAAATATGAAATATCAAAAGGTGCTATTCAAGGTTCAATCTTTGACATGGGAGGTGGTAGACACTGCTGATCGACTTGAAGTCCCCGAGTTCTGCCCTAACATATACCGTATATACTTGTCTATAAGTCGATTCGCCTATAAGCCGGAGGTACGTTTTTGGGTTAAAATTTTGGAATTTAATATTGACCCTGCCTATAAGACGGCATCAAAAAATGCTCCGGCAAAAAATCGAGTGAAACTTTCTGGAAGTAAAGTTAAATGATCGTGAATAAAATTTTGTTGGAAATCTACCGTAGGTATTTTTATTTCAGAAATGAGATCATGTACCGATACGTGTTTGTCATGATCGTGGAGATGGAGAGTGCCAAGTCAGTTAAAATTTAATGTTAAAAGATCGTTTCTGCTCTCAATATTTATAAAGACATAACGGTATTTCAATAAAATGTCATTACATTTTTTCAAGTTCTTGTTGTGTTTATAAACATGGAAGATTATACAGTTCGATCGTCAGTCCTTCGATCAAACGCACAGATCAATCACAATTCATTTCCACGCCCTACCTGCATACGTGTCCAACCAGGAACTTAAGGAAGTTCTGGTAGGTGTGTAATGTTGAAAACGGACCAATCAGGACAACGCGGCATGGTGTCATTAATATCTATCAAATCATTGTGCACGTGCTACCCACCTCGTTTACACCATGCTAATTGACCATCGGTCTGCCTTGATTGATCATTTGTTCTTCGTAATTGCCGTAAGTACTATGTATACACATTCCCGCACAGAACATTTTTGGAAAATTATGGTGTGATTTTTTGCTCACGGTCAATGACTCGCCTATAAGCCGGACCCCTCCTCGGAGGTCATAAATTTACTCCAGAAAATCCGGCTTATAGGCGCGTATATACGGTAAGCCACATTTAACTGCTTTCGTAGAGTGACACGGTTCAGAATATACACATGTTCTTGACTCAGTTTTAAATTTGTCTGAAATATGAAATTTACATTATTTACTTAATTACGAGGGTTCTTCGCCTCCTTGTATAGATTTTGACTTTTCTTTTAACCACTTTGGATTTTCCTTAGTCGCCAAATAGGCTACTAGGACCTCACCATCATTGACGAGTCCTACAAGGACGAAACAGATGAACGATGCAGTTAGATTCATTGTTTGACCCTGCTGTGTCTAATTCTAAATTTATATATTAAAAATTGTATGTCTGATATATATTATCTGATATTTTTACATCTTTACATCATAGATATAATCAAAGTACTGAAAGTACTGGTATGCTAAGACCATTAAAAAATAAATTCTTTGTTATTAGCTTGCTATATACTGAAACCAACTATATGCAATCAGTAAATCATTGCAGCCCATAAAAAATGACCAGCAGATATCAGAAATAACAAGCATAGTAGTATTACTTATGTAATACATGTCCCAAGTAGGCTCCAAGATGCAATGATAGGGAAGTTGTCCATTTCTTTGGATACATTGTAGGGAATGTTGATCATGGACACCATATTATCACTTTAAAGACTGTGTATCCTATTGGTTTAAGACCATTAGTTAGACCATCATGCAAATAACATGCTACATACAAATATTGGACAGCTTCATTTTCCAGATTGTTTGTAAATGACTGCATAAGAGTGCCAATTTTCTAAAACAAACATGACTTGTCACCATAACTTAAAATAGAAGATGCCTATTCTTCCAGAAAACCTGGTCTTATTCTCCTTGTACTTTTTCTGGGAATCTTCAAGTAGATAATGACTTTGTTCCAATTTTTCATGTTTATATATTCTTTGTTCTCTAAAACTTGTCACAAGATATTTTATTCCTCTTGTATTATCATTTTTTTTAACATCCTTACAGTGACCTTGAACCTTGAAATTTACAAGATGTGAATATCTTTTAGGTTGTGAAATTTGATAGAAAAACGAGGGTAATACAAGGGAAAAACACCCCCATGCAGCTATCCGTTTTTTGACTGTGACCTTGATCTTTGATATCTGACCCTGAATTTCTAAAGAAACCGACTTCTCCTCACAAGGGATACATGTTCCAAATTTGATTTAAGTATACTAACTGTCTTGGTCTCAATGCATTTACAAGGTAATCATATAGTACTTATGCAAGTACTGTGACCTCTACATTCAATCCTCAAAATCATTACTATATCCTCTCCACATTGCCCAGGGATAACCGAAACTGTAATCCAAATGATAACTAATACCCCCATCACCCACAGCCTTAGTTATCTCCCCATGGTGACCTTTTGCAAAAAAACATCCTCTGAAACACAGCGGCATGTGCACATGTTCCCTAATATTCCTGCGAAGTTTTGTTGAAATTGGTCCACAGGTTTAGAAGTTGACCGACATGCAAAACCTGTCTATATTGACCAGATGCCATGGCAATCAATATTTCCAGGGGAAAATGGTGCATGCACATCTACACATTGTCCCGAATATTACTGTAGTTTCATTGGAGTTGTCTAGACAAGATGTGTCTACAGACAGACAAACAGATGGATGGACAGATAGACAACTTGATTCGATTTACCCACCCTTTTGGTGGTATAAGAATGCACAAGAGTGCTTACAAATTCCATGTGGACAGACATCATGGAAAAATAATAATGATAATAATAAAAATAAAAACATGATAAAGATGCTTATATCTTGTTTTCTTTATTCAGTATACTTTCCATGCTTTGATCAGCAATGTAATCGTGTCATGTCAATATCCTAGTACAAGATTGCATACACAAAATTGTTGTAGGTAGACTTTTAAGATAAATAAAAAAAAAATACATGACTAAGTTTAAATGAAGGTTTTAAACAGCAGTTGTATTATGTTCAGTATACAGTGATTTTTCTAGGTAATTGTAAACTATAAACTCGGTATACAGCGATCTTTTCTACACATTTGTAAACAACAAACTCAGTATGCGGTGATTTTTTCTACAAAAAGTTTTTTTTTATATATATTGTATATACATAACTCAGAAAAAAAAATAATAAGTAAACCTTTCTATGTACACTACAAACTCAGTATACAGTGAGCCTTTCTACATGAACTTGGTATAACTAGTGAATCTTTCTACTTAAGTAAATTGAAGATTGTAAAGAAATTTACTACAAATGCAGCATACAATGATCTTTTCCACATTTTTTTAGTTTCTGCCATTTGTTGATTCTTCTTTTGTGATGGTAATTATATTGCCGCCTTTAGAGAGTACTGTGACCTTAAAAGGCAACATGGTTGTTAGCATATCCTCAAGTGATTAACCATCTTCAACATCTAATTGGAGGTCGGAAAGAAGGACGTTTTTCTCCACCATAAGGTCCTCAAATCCATTGTTGGTCACAATGGCCAATTCCAAGTTAGAATAATCAAGAGATACCTTCTACCATTCCAGATTTCATTTCTTCAGGGGCATCCACCTGCTGAAAGAGAGTAAAGCAAATAAATAACTATATTTCTTTATTGCTATGATTATGTACAAGAAATATACACTGCTGTATAAGCTTATAGTCTTGAACTTCCCAATAGGAGTCTATATTAAATATAATTAATTGTTTTGACATTCAGGACTGTCAAATTATGAAGTGATGGACAGCTAGAAAATAAGAATATCTTGACCATGGTCATACAGAGATTGAATCATAAAGTTAAATTCATGAGATAAATCTGTGCAGTATGATAATTTATTTTGACGTTTGTATTTCAAAAATCATTATGACTTGAAAGGTAATGTGTAATTCAATTACATTGGACCGTCATGCAATGGCAATGCCATTTTCATAATGTAATTGTAATTTCATTAATTACATCATCATGTAATTGAACCCATGCCTGTTACAAACAGTAGCTGTCCTAACTGATCCTAAAATTAAATTTGGCTATGTCTATCACAAAATTAATGTTGGCTGTCTATTACAAATGCCATATTTAGCTACAGTAGAGGTATTTCAAAAATGTATGTCATTGTAACTGAAAGGACACAATTAATGGTTACTTAACCAGAACTACAGTTCTGAACAAACCAATACAAAGCCTGGTTAACTGTACTAAGAAAATGTCTTCTCAATTAATCAATTTCATTGATTATTGACATCTTATTGTTGTACTTACAGTCACTTGAGTTTCTTAAAAGTTGCAATTTGACTTTTAATAAGGCCCAAAATGATAATACTGCAATGTCTTAATTAGCTCTCGAGGGGTATTGGTTAGACTATTTATCTCATTTCATTCCATTCACCATGAAAACAAAACTCTAAAAAACAGTCGACAATTAATGACAAATATTGAGCCTAGGGCTGGGTAAAATTGATGAATCAAAAGTGTTGAACTGAAAGTGGACGCAGTTGACATAATACTGAAATTTCTGAGATGAACAAATACAGTACATATATCAAAAAGTTCAATTGTACCAATAATACTTTACACATTCACACTGGGACTTTACACATTCACACTGGAACTTTACACATTCACACTGGGACCTAACACTTTGCTAGGTTTATCCTAATCTTTATTAAAATACTTTCCGGGAATCAGATGTTAACTGACATCTTCATTATTCCTAATCTTCATATTGTAATCGTTCACATGCATCACTCTTCAACAGAATCAACGAGACATCATGTCAGAAAGACAAAAACTAAAATTAAGCTAAAACTATATATATTAACTTCACATGTAAACCTTAAAATTAGCATAGCTGTAGAGTTCCCGTACGATTTCATACTCTGGCCTTTGGCCGTTGGGGTACTTATAAATTATCTCCGATCAGAAATTTGAAAGAGCTAGACCTACAATAGCGCGGACAGTGACAGATATTTTAAAGTAAAATCGATATATTACCCAGACAGATTCCTAGATCTATTCACGGTAGCGTAAGTAGTACAGTACAATATTACGGATAAGTTTTTTTTCTGGTTAATTTCCGATCTGTTGGGCCACTGACAGAAGTGACTGCGATGAGACCATTATGAAACGATCATTCCAAAATAAATCCATTTCAAAATACTGAAATACTTTACGGAAGCAACAAAAATGTGCTAGATGCTTACATAACATTTTTCAAATGCATACTGCTTCAAGGGAAAAGTCTTGAAAATATTTTGAAAAAAAAAGTGCTATGGCGGCAGTGCCCAGCTTGCGCGTCGCCGTCAAGCCTAAATTCAATAGACGCGAAGGCTCATTCCAAATGAATTGTTGCAAAAAATGCAATTGATAGTTCAGTATAAGTATTGACTTCAAATTCAGCTAACATATATATATATAGTGATACTTACCTACATGAATTACCCGCCATCTTCTTTCAGCCGCCGTCTTCTTTCAGGGTCCAGCAGCACAGAGCACCCCGGCTGTTTCCGTCAAAATTTTATGCTACTCTAAATCATTCTTATTTTAGTTTCATTTTTATTTTCAACTACATATATCAGTATTTTTAATAGTTATCAACAGTATTAAACGGGAAGTAAATTTTCGAAAAAAGAAAAATAGAAAGATATACAAATGTATATGACTCCCACAATGCATCGCGCGGAAAAGAAAGTTAAGCCGCCATATTGGCATCGCCTCGCAAAATTTACCACCATAAACGTGAGTCTTTGTCATTGTATTTACAAATTTCGATGTCTGATTATCATTAATACACAACACAAAACATTTTCTTGATGTACAGGTAATGAAGAAAATGTCGATAAGGTTGTTTCATTTAATGACTAGCATCAGCAACTTGTAGGGGCGATAATCCAATGATTACGGTAATGTCCGGCAGATGGAGTAGGAGTAAACTTTCGATTTATGAACCAATGAAAACGAAGTACTGATACTCAGCCTCAGGGGCGATAGCAACATGCTGAAGAGCATTGAAAATGCTCTTAGCATAAAAAAGGTAGTCCTTACCTTTGTATTTTCGTACTTTCAGCCAGAGACAAACAACACAAACGACGAGAGATGCGTTAACAGCAATGGAAATACCGGCGACAATCCAAGATCCGACGTTATCTGTTTAGAAGATGAACCATTACTATATGATTTACAAAAGACAGTGGCGAATATTCTTCCAGATTTCCATGTACAGTAACGAGAACTCCTCAACTAAACAATGATAATCAGAATATAGGTTGGATATACACGTAGTATATATTACCATTCGAAGAAGTCTTCAGAAGATTTGTATACTAGAAACATGTTGAGGTTAAGTTTTCTGATCATCGGTATAATGTCTGCCGTCGTGAAAACACTATGGCTATTTACTTACTGTTTTTAATGTCTTACCTGTGTTTTGAAAATATACAGTTGTCGTTGATGAAGAAATATCTGTGCAAAATATCAAAGAGACATTGTATATTAGTAATTGAACAAGGTAAACTTAAGTGTTTAAATAAAATATAATATCAGAATGCAGTTACGGTTCCAGGTCATATTGGCAAATTAAACGCTAACAGAACCGACTGTTTAATGTGACCATGTCAGTATATAACACATACACATACGAACGTTGCACTACCATAGCTAGCTATCCCCGACCTAGAATATATAGTTAAATATACAATAGCAATAATGTTCAGAATTAGAGTACAAGACACGATTATTCTGTGGACAGCTTTCAAAACGGATTAGATAACGAAATGTTTCAGATCAATGCAATACTTGTCATTACAATATCAGGTCTACTTCAGAAAGGTATTTATTTCTTATCATTTTATCATTTCCTAACCTTGTTTTGAATAGAAGCTAACACAGATGTCGTTGTTGGAAATATATTTGGGGAAAAATAACATCATATTTACTATATATTTCTGAAAAAGGGTGGTAATGTAACACATTTTATTGGAAAATTCTAATGATCTAATCCCTGATATAGTCATGAGTTCTGCCTCTAACCCAAAGATGACCTCTTGTCAATTGTCTCTCCGCAATGTTTTATCGACATCATGGCGAATAAATATCTTTACCATTCAGAGAAAGAAACTACATTAAGAACAGATATAAAAACCCAATATTAACAGGTAATATACCCAGTGAAACATTTAAAGTTTTTTATCAACAGTTTGACTAGAAAAGTAGGCCTAGCATCTACATCAATAGCTTACAGTGTCTTGTGTTCAAGCCAAAAGTCATTATCTAATCTGCAGTATATGCATAGAACCAAGCATACTTTCCCCAATTATGTAGTATGAAGATGTCGCAAACCAATGAAGAATTTCTCCATTACATGAATTGTCAAAGTGATGACAAAATGCATGAATAATGTAATTAGTTTTGGATGATTTTCATGAATACAATAAACAAGTCAGTCAATTCACTATATACTGATAATCTAATTTACTTCTGATATCAATAGTTTTTCAGTATATTAACTACGCGTGACGTTTGGTTATAATTTGTCTACATTTATGTCAAACAGACTTCTTGTAACTCATAGCGATTGATGTGTGTTTTACCTGTTGATGGCCATAATGACATTTTATGTTTTAACGGGCCGTTAAGAATGTCATTATAATATTATTGTAACTCATAATAATTCTAAGGTTACTTTGTAATTCCATTCCTCCACCACAAATTTATATATAAAATTTGAACTGTAACACAAGAAAGTAGAAACATTATCCGATTATAAGTTAGTGGTAAGATATTTAAAATTGTATACATACTGCCTCCATCATCCTGGCCACAGGTACTGCCACCCGTTACGTCTGAAAAATAAAATTGTTTTCAATAATAACAGAAGAAAATTCATTTGACCTTGGGCAGTTTTTTTAACGATGATACACTGAAAATGACACAATATTTAACAAACTGACGATAAATGCTGCACACAAAACATTTCAATTCATTTTACATAAACTGTCACTTTAGATCATATCTAAAATTGGTACATAATGGAACATGGTTTTTGTTATTTCACTTTGGACAAGTAAAGATTTTATTACAGAATAATTAGGAACATAAATGAATCGTTATTTGCTAATTTCTGTTAATCATGATTTTTCATTATTTTTTATTCTTACAGTTTCTGATGGAATAATAAGACTTCAGCTGCGCTGGATTAGAGCCACACACAGTTCCAGTGTACGGTTCACACATAAACGTGGTGTTAGAATCGGCAGAAGTTACGTTGTAGGTAAGTGTACTGGTACGCCTGTAATTACAGTTCTCCTTGACCAAACCATCATCATTCTGATTTATATGTGATGCGATCGGGTAACCCTGGAAACCAGAAAACAACATAACACTTACACTCAAAAATTTTATGTTTCATCTCCAATGTCAACAGTTGTTGACAGATCCTTCAACATTAGCTAAACGATGTGAATCCATCCTTCTTCTCCAATTCTATCCAATTATTTGATAAATCTAGAATGTATCTGACGCTGCTTTGCCTGGATTGGATTTACTAGTGTATAGAAAGCATAGAACTTAGATACAGCCCGATTACAGAATAAACAGAGCTCCTATTAGACAGAGTTAAAATTGGATTTTTGCAGGACCAAACTATTTGACAAGTTATGATAATAGATATCCAGATAACTCACAGCCCAGTTTACTTTCGTGTAGTGACTGTATATTTACAAGTATCCAGATTACTCACAGTCCAGTTTACTTTCGCGAAGTGACTGTATGTTTACAAGTATCCAGATAACTTACAGTTCAGTTTACTTTCACGCAGAGAAAGAACATTTACATATCACTTTCTATTAAAAAATAGTTACCGTATATGAGCTGTCACTGGCTCGCTTGTAACACCAGGTGTGTCTCTGTTTATCTGTGCCAACCGTTCCAGTACAGGAGAATGTCAACACCGTTCCAACAGAATAGTAAACACTGTTCACATTAGGTAATGGTGTCACAGACAGAGAGTTGGTATAGGTAGGACTTTCTGTAATACAATGAACCATCAGACAATGCAACTTTACAACCATTTTTTTTTTTTTTTGTGTCCAAACTCCTGTTACTGGTTTAAATTTGATCATCAATTTCTTACAGAGCAACAATCAATACAATTGAAAGAATATAATGAATAAGTCATTATCATGCTTAACATTACAATAAAATTATTCCTATCATTTAAATAGGTTGGTTTTTAGCACAAAACTATATTATCGAGCTTTAATACCAGGCTCCAAATATAACTTTGAACTGACTTTGTTGTTCCTCATGATATTTCTGAGTCAGTTTTGTTTTTACTTAGAAAATTTTGTTACAGAAGATGACCAAGTACATACCTTTAGCAGTGACATATTTATCATCAGAAGCTGTCCCACCACTACCACCTATCAGAGTGACTCCCATTTTACATTGATAGGCTCCACCATCGGTACATGTCGTCCTGTTGGCTGCAATAGTTAATACGAGCTGAGCACCAGACACAGAGTCCACATTTCCCGTCACTGTCACCCCTTGTCTGCCCTGATTACCTGTTGTACCCCACGAGTATACTGATGATCCTGAGGATTTTTCATAGGAAACAGACACTAGTACTGTATAATCTGTAGTGCTGGTATTTTTCCTAATGGTAATACTATTGACATCCTTTAAACCAACTGTACTTGGTTGACAAGTAATTTTCAGTTCTGATGCTGGTGTTAGCAAAGTACTTGTCCCTGTTATGGTAATGGACTGTCCAGAAACTGGAAAAAATATTCAGAAACAATATCATTTTAAATCTCCTGACAGAGAGTTATGTAAGCATTGGTTTTCTAGGTAACTGATCACAAGTAATGTGACGTATTACACAATATTTGATAAGCATTACAATATTTGATATATATAATGTAATATCGTATACGTATCACAAAATAATTGATACGTATTACACAATATGACATTTTACACAAGATATGTTACGTAAAATGCTATACTTGATTTGTATTGCTAGAGAAATCATTTAACTTGTAGTTCGAACTCTGTCTGTTTGATTAAATTATGCCTGTTATCAACAACAATACATTTTTAAAGAAGCATTACTTCCGATCTGTCAGTGGTTTTTACAAAGTTCATACTACCTTTCAGCTCATGGCAGAAGTTTTGTGATAATTAGCATTGTCATTATTTAATTGGAGCTCGCGCAGTGAGCTCATGCATTTGATAAATAAATTCGAAATAAATAGTGAAAAGGATGAGGAGACTAATATGTGTACTTCAAAAGCTGTATACAGAAATAAGGATTTATATTTACAGGTGTATATATAGGGATAAAGATAGAATCTCTACAGTGCAGCGAGTACATTGTGGATAAGAGCAGACTGTCATAAACACGTCTGCACGTCGTATGGCTTAGTGGTCCCTTGACTCACTGTCTCTAACAGTGGGCGAGGCCATAAATAGAACAGGTACCCGGTTATACAACTTGTCTTTAAGTGTATTTTAGTGTTGTGTTAGCACTGTCTAAACACAAATACAATGTTATCTACCTAGGTATAGGGGATTCACATGTACAATTTCAGGTGTGTTCCCTGAACGCATACATGTCTAGAACAATAGGTAGAAACATCAAAGGGAGGGTAATTATAGTCTATATCATACATGTATTATATTTACCTGAGATATTTTACCTGTGGATCTACCTGTGTTACCTGTATTAACCTGTGATAACTTGCAGAAAGAAAACTAAGATATCAATATGAAGTTCAATATTTATTAACTTTTCTTATGATAATATTACAATTGATTAAATTTAAAATACATTTAATATAAAGAAAGAACACAAAGATGCCAATATTTATGAATATATTCTATCATAATAGCACAATTACCTTTAAATAACATGTAACTTCAACTAAAATATCAAGTTCAACATGTATGAATATATTCTATCATAATATTACAATTAACTTTAAATTCAAATCAAATCTATAAGGTACAATATTTTGATCTAAAGAAAGATCAATGTACAACATATCAGCACATAACTAAAGACATATATACAGCACTAGGAAATGATAAATATATGCAGCACTACTACAAAAACTTATAAATATACAGCACCAGGAAATGACAAATATATGCAACATGACTATGAATACTAATAAATACACTGCACTTATATGTCACACTATTAGAAACTGATTGATGTTACAGCACTAACGGCATATACGAGACACTAAAGACTGATAAGTGATAACACTAATTCAATGATGAATATATAGCACTGACATAAATATCTGCAACAATGACACAACGTACAAAGTCATTCGTTTTGCTCAGAGCAAGTCTAGGCAAGACATTTCAACCCAAGTGAAGAAGCTCAGATGCTGCATCAGCGTACGCAATGATGTCTATGGTGTTGCTCTCCAGTCTCTGTTTCAGCAGGGCAAGGCGGGTGTCAATGTTTCTGTACCTCTTGGGTCGGGGTCGTCTGGTTCCACCGGCGCGTCGTTGGAGTCTTGCAATTTCGTTGGTAGCCTGAATGTCTTTGAATGTCTGGATGATCTCGAAGATGTTTGGATGGGCGTGTTGCACAATCTTCTTCAGCTTCCCGTGCCAGGCTTCTAGGTGGTTGGTGGTACGTGGTCCATCGTTGTCGTAGTGGTTCCAAACTGGTCGGTCTCCATCCACCCATTGGTCAACAACATAGTCCGTGAATGGTGTCACGTCAGCTGGTAGGTCGGCGTACTCAATGTCCTGTAGTGCGTGAAACCAGACATCCTCAACTTGCTGCTCAGGTACCAGAGGTAGGACTGCTGCACGGCGAACCAGTCTCCTGATGTCTTCGTTGTCCCGGTATGGAAGCTGTAGTCCAGTCATCAGTGCCTTTCTCCAGACGCATTGGGTGTAGTGGAAGAAGCAGCCCTTGATATCGGTCCCTGGGAAGACGGTGCGGATTGCGTTGTGGACAGCTGTCTCAAAGTCAACGAATACTGTGTCGGGCGACATGGGTAGGTGGTTGTCTGCCATGAATGTCTTGAGTAGTGTGAAGAATCTTGTGTAGATGTGCTGACTTTTCCCGGGTAGAAGAGAGTAGACAACTGGGTACATGGATCCATCTATCTCAATGTGTATCGTGTAGATCTGATGAAAGATGTTGGGACACGTGTAGAAAGTACCATCACAGTAGATGCGGTCGGCGGTGGCGAGCTCAGCCAAGTCCTCTGATGTGGCGAAGACAAGGATTCTGTTCTGGTCACCATCGTCAATGTGTAGGAAGCGCTCTCCAGTGTTGGTTTCCGTCCATCTTCCCTCGAGATCAATGTCCTGGGTAGTGGTTGGTAGCTTTGGTGTAAGCTTGCGTCTGGCTCTGTACAGCTGTGACTTCTTGGAGTTGAAGGTGGGTATCTTCTCTACAACGGTTCTTGTCTCTTCATCCCATTCGTTGTCACGCAGTTTGCAGAGTTCCTCACTGTAGATGGTAGGGATTGGTCTGATTTCTTTCTGGCAGCGGTCAGTGATGCAGTTCATGATCTCCTTGGCTACGATGCTTGCATGGTCTCCCGGGTGATTGTGTGGTTGCCGTCCAACTCCTACTATGATGTTGTTGCGGGTGTTGATTGTAGCAAGGCAGTTGGTAATGGTGCATCTCCAGTAAGTTCTGAAAGAGAAAAAGAAGATATTAATGTCTGGTTCACATAAATGTATAGTTTGCAACACTTGAGATTTATATGTAGAAAAAAAAATCTATCAGTGTTTCAAAGCAACACTTACTGTGACTTCAAGAGTATGATGTATAAAAAATATGATTTATTATTTTCATTTATTTATTTATTCATCAATTTACTTTTTATCTCTAATTATTTCTTCCTTATTGCATACATAAGAGCAAAAAAGTCCATTGATACAATTTATGAGTTTTTGTTTCAAGGATAGAATTAACAAAATATTTCTTTTTACAAAACAACTTTTACATCAGTATTTACCTTTCTCCTCGAGATGATCTAATTCTGTACAAGTAACCATTATATGATAAGTTGTTACCCCCAAGTCTATTTCTAATGAACTTAAAATTTAACTGAGCGTTAGCCATGATTGGGAATTGAAACACTAGAAGATTTGTTGAATGATAGCAAAGTAAATTATACCAATGTGAAAAATGTGGGAGCTTATATAGATAAACTGCATGAATAGCTTGGATACTCACCTCAAAGTGTCATGTCATCTGTAGCTTTGGTCCTATTAACTGAGTTCATCAGTTTTTTAATTGATCTTTGAGAGGTGAACAGTTTTAGATCAATTAATTTATTTAGCAAACATCATTTGAATATAAAATTTACTATACAAACACTTTTTAAAGAAAATAATCAAAATAATCATATCAAGCAGTTATTGTGATTTGAATAAATGAAATTGAATGCATGCATAATTGTGCATAAATTAAAAAATATTAAAACAAAATTGTACACAATTTATATCCTTCATCTTGTAAATTGAACATTTCTTAAATAATTTGTTTAAAGTTTATATATATAATCCATACAATTGTAATTTCTTCTTTTTTTTTTACTTTAAATAAGTCTATTATACACTATATGTCCTCATCTGTAATTTCCCACCCTAAAATCAGGATGCCTGTACACTCACAGGTAAATACAGGTAACTTGTACAGGTAAATATAACTACCTACACAAGGAAACAGACTATAATCACTGTGTAAACATATCACCCAAGACATGTTTTTAAAATGTATGCGTTCGGGGATACAGTGTTACCTGTATTGATAAACAATGTTACCTGTATATATACGTAATGTTACCTGTATTGATAAATAATGTTACCTGTATTGATAAATAAATATTACCTATATATATACGTAATGTTACCTGTATTGATACATAATGTTACCTGTATATATACGTAATGTTACCTGTATAGATACATAAATGTTACCTGTATTGATAAATAATGTTACCTGTATTGATACATAATGTTACCTGTATAGATGCATAATGTTACCTGTATTGTTAAATAATGTTACCTGTACTGGTACATAATGTTACATGTATAGATACGTAAATGTTACCTGTATTGATACATAATGTTACCTGTATATATACGTAATGTTACCTGTATAGATACGTAAATGTTACCTGTATTGATACATAATGTTACCTGTATATATCGTAATGTTACCTGTATAGATACGTAAATGTTACCTGTATTGATACATAATGTTACCTGTATTGATACATAATGTTACATGTAAACGATGGAAATGACATGTGTAAACTGTCACTACTAGAATGACAGGTAAATGGTATAGGTCACTTACCTGTGTAAACTGTCACTACTAGAATGACATGTAAATGGTATAGGTCACTTACCTGTGTAAACTGTGACCACTAGAATGACCAGTAAATGGTATAGGTCACTTACCTGTGTAAACTGTCACTACTAGAATGACAGGTAAATGGTAAAGGTCACTTACCTGTGTAAACTGTCACTACTAGAATGACAAGTAAATGGTATAGGTCACTTACCTGTGTAAACTGTCACTACTAGAATGACAGGTAAATGGTAAAGGTCACTTACCTGTGTAAACTGTGACCACTGTAATGACAAGTAAATGGTATAGGTCACTTACCTGTGTAAACTGTGACCACTGTAATGACAGGTAAATGGTATAGGTCACTTACCTGTGTAAACTGTGACCACTAGAATGACAGGTAAATGGTATAGGTCACTTACCTGTGTAAACTGTGACCACTGTAATGACAAGTAAATGGTAAAGGTCACTTACCTGTGTAAACTGTGACCACTAGAATGACAGGTAAATGGTATAGGTCACTTACCTGTGTAAGCTGTCACTACTAGAATGACAGGTAAATGGTAAAGGTCACTTACCTGTGTAAACTGTGACCACTAAAATGATCAGTGACACACACATGGTTGACAGAGGTATAATCACTTACCTGAAACTAACGACCCGGAAGCTATCTGTGTTGGGGTATGTTCCTTCTCTATAGTAAATCCAGCCGTAGGTACAAGTCATGTGAGTTCTATTTGTGTCATAGGGTCAGTTTTTGTATATTGTTAGTGATACCTGTAGTATTGTAATGTATTATTATTGTATTATCGTATTGTAGTATATATGCTGGTTATGTATATGTGTGTATTATTTATTATCGCGACTGATGATTCTGCGCAGTCGATGGTGACGATCGTCGTCAGTCTGTAGCAGTGGATGTAACACCGCTTGGTGACGACCAAGTTTTGGAGAGTGACGAGACTGGAGTTGTTGCTGACCGGACGGATCACGTCGAGGAAAGACGACAAATCCCGACGCCTGCTCCTAGGTGATCATCTACAGCACGGCGACCTCCTCTACGGCAACAGTCAGGAAAATTCGTCATGACTCAGTCAAGTATGTCCAGGAGTCTCCAGTGATTGAATCACGAGAGCAGAATATATGCAACGCTTTCTAGAGCGTGGGATGCTTGTCCCGAATCGGACCTCGGATGCTCTCATGAGAATCGTTTTTATATAGAGATAAATTTCTTGTAACGTGTGATTTAAGATATCACTTTTATTGATCATTCGATGTTTTGCGCTTTGTTTTAATTTGATATGAATTGTGTATGTTCATGTAACTGACTTCATTTCGTATTCGTATTGATGATAATGTTTTCTGCTTGTTTAAAAGACGAGGATGTCTTTTTCAAACCAGGGGGAGTGTGTAATAGGGTCCTGTTTTGTATATTGGTACTGATTCCTGTAGTATCTATATTTTGTATTGTAGTATATATATATACTGGTTATGTATATATTATGTGTGTATTATTTATTATCTCGAACACATCGTTAGTGTCACGTTTTACCCGCGTGCGTAACGTTTATACGTATTGACGAGAGCGTCCCTTTGTGTAGTGTATATGTATGCACTATGTACTAGTGTACGTGAGTCAATGACCGACTGGACACAAGGCATTTGACGGACTTTGACGAAGGTGTTTGATTGGTTGAAAGTTTCTCCTGTACATGTTTCTGTTTACTATAGTCTTTTACTATATCGGGGTACATTTGAATCCTGGAAATAACTAATATGAAGAAAAAAATATTGTTCATGTCCTAAATATACCACTGTACGATTTGTCGTCAGAAACCAAAGTGTGTTATTTTCCCTGACTTCATACATTTCGTTTGTACATCTGAGAGGTTCCGGACATCAATATATACTATAAGCGTGCCATTGAAAAAAATATAATTATCGCAACCTGAACTTACGGTTTAACAGTGTATTACTGCTGAATTTCATATCGTTGGTGTAAAATCCACTCTTTATTTCAGTATGAATCAAGAAACAACAATGTATCTCACAAATTTCAATATTTTCCATAAGTATATCAACGATTCTCATTATAGCTATTCAAAGTCGCGATTCTTAAGCAGAGGCCATTTAAAACCCTTGACATTTAGTTCGACCTGTGGCTTTTCTTTACTTCAATCTTGTTATGCAACTAGGTAGGTACCGGACAAATATCATGATTCTAGATCCCTGTTTAATCTGACAGATGGTTAACTTTCCCAATAAGTCCCCTGGCAGGCAGTTAACTTTCCCGCTATGTCTCCTGGCAGGCAGTTAACTTTCCCAATAAGTCTCCCGGCAAATGGTAAACTGTCCCATTTAGTCTCCTGGCAGGCGGGCTTTCCCAATATGTCTTCTGGCAGGCAGTTAGCTTTCCCACTACGTCTCCTGGCAGGCAGTTAACTTTCCCACTATGTCTCCTGGCAGGCAGTTAACTTTCCCACTATGTCTCCTGGCATATGGTTAACTTTCCCTTGTAGTGTCTTGGATGACTCGACTGATAAGGTTGGTCAATTTCATGGTTAAAGGCCTTTCGATTACAGAGATCTTGTTCCTGTACAAAACAAAAATTGAACGAGTTATCTTTCTTGTCGCATGCTTGATGATCGAGACTTTAGTTACACATACACGTGTAATTCATGATAACATTAAAATGTTTCTCCTTGGCACATGGCCAAGTTCAAGACCCGTGAAGCAAAACATGAAAGTTTCAACCAATCAAGTATGGAGATTCACATGTGATTCCAACGTCAACTATACATATCTGGGTCAAAGTTGGGGTCACGACATCGGGTCAAAGGGTAGAAGTCACAACATCGGGTCAAAGGGTAGAGGTCAGGGGTAGATATCACGACATGTGCAAACATCCAATGCAAATCGAGTTTTTTTAAATGGTACATTTTACGGACTTTCTTCGTGGGTCAATACCTTAAGGTTTTTAACTGTTGTATCAGTCCATTATTGTATTACCCATAATGCGTTTGGTAAGAAGACAGTAGCACCAAGTATTAAAAGCTCCTGTAGAACGTGCCCTTGTCGAATTGTTCAAAATGTATTTCTATCTCACGGACGTATTTTGAAGTTGTGACAGTCACTGTGAACCTGAACGTATTACGAAAAAAAATACGTAGGCGAAGGGGTCATATTAACTCAATGAGGTCACGTGATAAATTGATATTTCTACACGGGTCAGGGGTTTATATCATATCATACCAACTAAATGATCACGTGATGAACTTGATGTATTCAGGCCTAGATCGATTCAATGACGAAATATTACTCGTGTCTCAGTTTATGAATCGAAGACATCGAGTTCTGTTATGACGTCATCAAGTAAAAAGATGGTGTAGACGGTCTACAATAAATTGAAAATTTGTCTTTCGATTTCTAGCGCATGCGTCAGAGGCAGGGAAACTTAAGTGTCGAAACCCGAGGTGACTAAACGATGATCGTAGAAAAGACATATATGAAAACAGCACTTATAATGTCACTTTAACATTAGATACAGTAGAGAAAAACAATTAATAAAACTGCGACAAACAGCTACTTCTTTCGTTCTTCTAAGACACTTCAATGATGCCTAAAGTTTGAAGCACAGGAGATGTCAAGGTCTGTATGTAATACTAGAGTTGACTTTATTGCCGTCAGGCTTCATAAACGTGAAGCCCGGATGTGATCGGTGTATATAATCAAGACTACACACAATTATTTCCGCAACTACAAATCGGAGAAACTCAACCTGGTACATTGATGACGAAGAACGATCTTACAGCCTGTAACAGTCGCCATTTTGTAAAGTAACACAGAAATCGGGACAAAGAGATGATACCGGTTCTTGTGCTTGTCTTGCTGAGTGCAACATGTGGTAGGTTAATATATGTTGATATCTCTGTAACGTTAATGTTATGTTGATAGTGTCGTTATATGCAGGTTGTGTTATTCATTTATCAATTAAGAAAACCTATTAATAGTACATTCATTAGTTCTGATGTGATATTACCATATGGATCGATCTCTAATAATATAACGCATATTTGTAATGATAATCCATTAGAAATGTCTCAAACATGTATCTTATTTCTCTTGGCTCCGACAACCTTTTAACATAAAGGCTAACGAGTCGTATTTGTGGGTGGAAACAATAGGATCGTTTCTATAGTTACCGATTTCCTGTAAAAGCGACCGATTGGATGACATAACCACGTTTCAGGGTGGAATGTTTACTTGTCATACATTCTTCATTCTCTCAAATCCTGCCATAAGTTAATTGTTGGAATATTTTAACATGTATCTATCACCTAAGTGGGTGTTATCGCTGTTATTGACGAGTTAGGAAAGTTTCTATTATTTTATAACGTTGATTTAAGATAAATGATCGGACTCTCAACAGATACAGCTATTAGTGTTGACGATCCTACTTTATTGGTCTATAGACCAGACTTTCAATGTATGAGCAAGATGTCGAGTGTTCTTCACACACAAACATTAGGATATAGGACGATTTTGTCATTGATTTCTTTGTCAATTATCATTGATTGTCTGCTCTCAATATCAGGTAAAATGACTGAAGTATTTTCACTTTTGAAGACCAATGGTAACTCGGGAAAGGCTCTATCAGTGTATGGACTTGTGTAACTTTTTATAGGGTTTACATAAACACATTTACTGAGGTCAGTTTAAGATATTTTTCACGGACAGTAAGACCATACAAACACAAGTAGAAGAGATAAAACTATAGTTCAGTTCTTTGGCATGCAATAGAACTAGTTTCAAAGCACCAGATTTTTCTTAGAAGAAATTCTCAACGAGAATCCGACTTTCTGAAAAGTCACTCGAGCTTGGCGCTTAAAGGAACAGATGAGATCATGCATTATAAAACAATAACAAGTCTGTCCATGCTCCCACGTTTGAAAGTCGTTAACAAAAATTCACAATTAACACATGTATTTTATTAATACGTTTTTCTTACTAAATTGAATTTTTCATAAAAAGTAAAACGAGTAATACAGTAAAACACGTGCAACTTGTTTTCCCTTCAGTGAAGACACTGGTTTATCCCACGGTGGTGGTGGCAGAACTTGGCAAAAGCTACATCATGACCTTCACCTTTAGGCCGAATGCTAGAAACATGACAGAGTTCCATATATACAACGACAATAGCGACACCACCATGATAAGCATCTTCCAGAATACGACCACAGTCTATAAAACCTGGGAAAGGCGTGTTATTGTCCAGGATAACATCGCCGAGGGTTCAGTTACGGTGACCTTGACCTCTGTCCTGGTGGAAGACGAAGGCTGGTATCGTGTCTCCATGGATACCGGTCATTCGGAACAATCTGGACGTTTCCCAATTATAACATATGGTAAGATGAAATTCATTAAATCCAATTACTCTTGAAACAATGACGCTTATGTGACGTCATCAAATATTAACAACTATTATGACGTAAGGTATTCTTCCTGCGGGAGGTTAACACCAGGAAATAAATCTTGTCTTGTATTTCAGTATGTGAGTAATGAATGACACAGGTGTGTACAGAAAGAGACGGAAATCAAACGAGAAAGAAATATATCCTTGTATGGAATCAACTACTATCCTTTGTATTCATCAACTGTTAGTACACTTTCTGCCATACTGTGAACGTATGGTCATCAAGTACTGGTAGTAATGGTGGTCCAATGGCTCAGTGGTAGCGCCTTCCACCAAGACGTCTTGGTTTCGATTCCCCAAACAGACGTAAAAAGCTCACATGTCACATGTCCGACCATGTTTGTTTTCCACGGGTATCCCGAGTTTCTCCCACAGTAAATGCCTTCGCACGCTTCAATTCGAGGCAACAAACTTGATGTTTTAGCTGGATAACTTGCTTCGCAATTGTAACATAAATTAATAATGATATGTAGGTCTATATCTGAATGAGTACAGACTGTATTCAGTGAGTCAAAAGGGCATAACATAACCCTTGTAAAATACCAGCCGCACTATATCATTCTGCTGAAGAGCTCTTCTGCTTGGTCGGTTAAGCGTCAGACTAGTAAGACAGAAATCCGCGATTCGAATCCTTGCGGATGCATTGCAGTGAATAATGACATCTGGTATATTAGGGTACGATATTGAACTTTTCTCGCGCACAAACCAAACGTCAAAATGGGTTCTTCCGGTTACCGTATTAACAATATTCAGACCATCAAAGTATACCGCTCCATCAAAATTTCAATAAGGTACGAGGTCACGTGACATTGGGAAACATAAATTGGCAATAGGGTTGTCTAAATAACGAAGGTGCTTACTTACACGGGAAATAACAATAACAACAGCATATTTAAAACATATTATGAGTGGGGTTGAGGGGGGGGGCGGCTATGAAAGTATGTATCAGCTCATGATAAGCTTACTCGGATTCACTGATTTAGTCAGGGCGATATACTTACAACGGAAATGAATGATTTCCTGGTTTATGTGTAACGATTCATACATAACGCAAACACACTAAAATACAAAAGGTTAAAGATCACGATGTACTATACACATTACTTATCGACAGCATTCTACTGACTTGTAAAGTATCTTAAATACCTCACGTAGAAAAGAAAATGACAATGAAAGTTTAGAAGTTTTTTTTAATAATAATTCCCTAACACTGGGATGACTGAAGCTCTTTTCCTCTGTTTTTTATTCGTATAACATAATAATTTCTGTACATACAGCTGGTGGAAAGAAGTTTTCCCGTTTTGTTCTATAAACACCAAAGAATTAAACATTCAGAGTGTTTGAATTTCAGCGCACATCAATCCACACATCAACAATTTTTGTATTTGACTTTCTGTTTGCTTTTCTATCTATCTTTTAAGCTCAGCCTGTCTACCTAACAATAACTCAGACCTTGAGTCAAAACAATAACGAACGTCACTTCCGGTGCAGAGGGAATGTTGGGAGACCTAATCCGATATTACGTCTTTTACAATCGCCACCTTACAATGATGTTCCCAATCATGAGATCACAAAGTATAAACCGACATCGCCACTTCCAAACGGGACGTTTTTCATCGATCATTCCTTCAATGTATCATTTCCCTTTTCTGATAACGGAACCTATGTTGTCTGTGACGTCACGCATGAAATAGTCTTAGGGAAACAGCTTCGACCAATCAGGAGTAGGCTGGAGCTAGTTACTGTGAAGCGACCCAGCGGTAAGTACTTGAATATTTTTCGTAGATGAGACAGGTTATGCGTCACCTAGGTGTTCATTTTTTCTGTTTAATCTTGCCTAGCTTCATGAATCAGGCACAAAGTGACTTCATAGTTTGAATGCATCAAATCATTGGTCAATTTGACATCTTATTTGGCAAAATTGGAGAATTTGGGCAAGGAAATTGAAATCAATTCCGTCTTATCCAGTGAATATACTCATTGGTAACATTTTTTATGGCTTGAAATTTAAGATTTTACGCTGAAAATAACAAGCTTTGATATTTTCACTAATATTTGGCCAATATCATATCATAGCATTTTCAGTGAAAAATATCAATTACCCCAGAATGCATTGCGAACTTCAGGAACGACAACTCGGGTAAAGATAGAAATGGCGATGGAAATCATCGGTAGGAATCTCGGCTTTCTTAGTTATATCGATCGTATTCAATCTGAATTAAGTTATCAGAATATTTCATACATTGCACTAGATACTTGATGTTTAATGATTTAATGTGATTTCGACGTACAACTACATATCCCACGGAGAAATGATAACAGTGATGAAATGTTTCAGATATAGACAAAACGTTAATCTCAAACCGTTCCGCAGTGAAAAGGCGAGAAAAATGTAATACATCGAAAATTCACTGTGTCTTGGTGAATTTTATCCCATATGATGGAGAACTAATCTGACCTATAGTGACGTCACTAGACGGTAAAAGTGACGTCACACATTCGATGATATCATAATCAGAACAGTTGATATTGAAAGAAGATGTCTTCAAGCGTGAAACGGGAAATACATTTTATATGATGTTTGTAAAATTATTAGTTCTTGTGATAAAAACATCTTAAATTTTATTTCCGTTATAGGAAATATATTTATGAATTTGTCTCAAATATTTCGTGTAAGCCGGCCTTATTTAATGAAATATTTCTTAGACTTGTTGCGATAAATCGCATATAATATATAAACATGTTTTTGTTAGATCATAACTATTTAATTTCACCACGATGATGATGGGGGAAATAAGGCTTGTATATTTATTTCATTTTAATGAAATATGACATTTTCCAATGACTTAAAGTGACGAATCATGACAGATTATTTTCTTAACTTAGGGAAGTATTTTGATTTTTATATTTTTTCTGAGTCGGAAATGATACCACCAAGCGTATTTAGAAGTATAAACTTCACAACTGAATGTCTTAAAAAAAAGCCCATGCGGACTTTTTAGAAGAATCGAATGGGAAAAAAAACAAATTTAATTATGAAATCGTAACTTGAAATATACAACCAACATATTTGACAAAGTATGCAGCAAATTTTCACGGTAAGGGGCGTAACTCTAGCATTCTTCGTTGTCATTCTTTCAACTCGTCATTCTTCCAACTCGTCATTCTGGGCCCTAATCGGTTCCCAAGCGTATCCAATCATTGACAGAGCGAAACAAAGGGCAATAACTCTGGGAGATCAAAATGCAAAACTCTAGATGATGGACCCGGAGGTTGAACCACCACGTTAAGTTATCTGATAGTTCTATAAAACATATCGTGATTATTAAACTTTATAATAAAATATTTTAAACTATTTTTATTATGTCAATAGCTTAAATATTAAATATCCGATCATCACATTAGATATCACGATATGAATTTTCGAAGACATTATTAAAGGCTAACCCTGTTCGTCAACACCCGATTAGTAGCAAAGCTGTCATGAGATCCTCTCGTCACCAGAGACCATACTATCATGCTGTGCATTCTCGCTTGTCGCTATAAGAATGAAACGAAGGGAAGTAACTCTGGGGTATCAATGTGATGCCGTACGGAAGCACCAGGGAAGATCACGACTACCGTACCACACTTGATAAACATGGCATGGACAAAATAAATGTCGGACTAGACAGACAAGTGAACCGACATATATCAACTTCTATAGGAAAAGCTGACTAAATTTAACCCAGAGCTGGTTTCCCAGGAGGATATTTAACTAAAATGGCTCAGTGTCCATGCAGATTTCGTTTTTGACTGCTATTGAATTTACTTCGAATCAGATATTTTCGGCAAGGGATTTATATTTTGCATCATTCGCGACTTCAGATCCCTTGCGAATATATTTTTGTCGATGTTGTCTTTTAATAAATGACTTTTGCGGTGAGGTACCCGCGAAATCATGTATCCGCGAATAAGACGGTCACTTACTCTTGAGAAGTTAAACAACCGTTAAAGTTAAGAGATTCACAGTACGTTGAAGAGACAAAAAATGACCCGTTGTTTTCTCTGCAACAATTGGTATCACATAATCCCCTTCTATTTCTTCTTTTCCGTCAACCTCTTTACCCTCTCTCCTGGTTCTATCAAGTGGCATCAAACAGCTGCACTGTCCCTCACTGGGACCGGCCTGAACAGAGCTGTCTTGGACCGGGTATGAGTGCGACCGGAACTGGGACTGAGTGGTGGGATAGGAGCTGACTGAGACCGGGGCTGATTAGTGGGAACGAGGCTCAGGCTGACAGCCCTGTACTGACTGTGACCGGCGCTGACTGAGAACGTTGTTGACTGGGACCGGGTCTGATTGGTTGGACCAAGGCCGGGGCTGACAGACCTGCGCTGATCGGGACCTGGGCTGACAGACATGCGCTGAGTGGGACTGGGGCTGACTAGAACAGGGTCTGATGCTAATTGATGGGACTGGGGCTGTCTGAGTCCAGGACTGATTGGTGAGAGCGAGGTTGCGGCTGATAGACCTGCGCTGACTGTAACCGGAGCTAACTGGAACCGTAACGACAGATAACTCGTGCGGGCTTAAGCAATACGTCATGCAACATGCTACACAAGATACCTGTATATAGCTGTTACCATTTGACCCCGGATGGCTTAAAGATGGAAACAGAGATGAAAGAGATGTGATTTCCACATTGACTACACAAACATATGCTATACCGTTAGTGCAGAAAATGCAGAATGAAAATCTAAACTTATTACAGTCCACGACCCTTTAGTTATAGGTGACACAACGGAAACACCCGATTTATCAGGGCGCTCCGTTCTCGTCCCTTAAGTTATAGGTGACACAACGAAAACGCCCGATTTATCTGGGCGCTTCGTTCACGTCCCTGTAGTTATAGGTGACGCTACGAAAACACCCGATTAATCAGGCCGCTCCGTTCACGTCCCTGTAGTTATAGGTGACACAACGAAAACACCCGATTTATCAGGGCGCTTCGTTCTCGTCCCTGTAGTGAGAGGAGCCGCAACGAAAACACCCGATTTATCAGGGCGCTCCGTTCACGTCCCTGTAGTTATAGGTGACGCTACGAAAACACCCGATTTATCACGTCGCTTCGTTCTCGTCCCTGTAGTTAGAGGAGCCGCAACGAAAACACCCGATTTATCAGGGCGCTCCGTTCACGTCCCTGTAGTTATAGGTGACACAACGAAAACACCCGATTTATCAGGGCGCTCCGTTCACGTCCCTTTAGTTATAGGTGACATAACGAAAACATCCGATTTATCAGGGCGCTCCGTTCACGTCCTTGTAGTTATAGGTGACACAACGAAAACACCCGATTTATCAGGGCGCTCCGTTCACGTCCCTGTAGTTATAGGTGACACAACGAAAACGCCCGATTTATCAGGGCGCTCCGTTCACGTCCCTGTAGTTATAGGTGACACAACGAAAACACCCGATTTATCACGTCGCTTCGTTCACGTCCCTGTAGTTATAGGTGACACAACGAAAACGCCCGATTTATCAGGGCGCTCCGTTCACGTCCCTGTAGTTATAGGTGACACAACGAAAACGCCCGATTTATCAGGGCGCTCCGTTCACGTCCCTGTAGTTATAGGTGACACAACGAAAACACCCGATTTATCAGGGCGCTCCGTTCTCGTCCCTTAAGTTATAGGTGACAGAACGAAAACGCCCGATTTATCTGGGCGCTTCGTTCACGTCCCTGTAGTTATAGGTGACGCTACGAAAACACCCGATTAATCAGGCCGCTCCGTTCACGTCCCTGTAGTTATAGGTGACACAACGAAAACACCCGATTTATCAGGGCGCTTCGTTCTCGTCCCTGTAGTGAGAGGAGCCGCAACGAAAACACCCGATTTATCAGGGCGCTCCGTTCACGTCCCTGTAGTTATAGGTGACGCTACGAAAACACCCGATTTATCACGTCGCTTCGTTCTCGTCCCTGTAGTTAGAGGAGCCGCAACGAAAACACCCGATTTATCAGGGCGCTCCGTTCACGTCCCTGTAGTTATAGGTGACACAACGAAAACACCCGATTTATCAGGGCGCTCCGTTCACGTCCCTTTAGTTATAGGTGACATAACGAAAACATCCGATTTATCAGGGCGCTCCGTTCACGTCCTTGTAGTTATAGGTGACACAACGAAAACACCCGATTTATCAGGGCGCTCCGTTCACGTCCCTGTAGTTATAGGTGACACAACGAAAACACCCGATTTATCAGGGCGCTCCGTTCACGTCCCTGTAGTTATAGGTGACACAACGAAAACGCCCGATTTATCAGGGCGCTCCGTTCACGTCCCTGTAGTTATAGGTGACACAACGAAAACACCCGATTTATCACGTCGCTTCGTTCACGTCCCTGTAGTTATAGGTGACACAACGAAAACGCCCGATTTATCAGGGCGCTCCGAATCTCGTTCACGTCCCTGTAGTTATAGGTGACACAACGAAAACGCCCGATTTATCAGGGCGCTCCGTTCACGTCCCTGTAGTTATAGGTGACACAACGAAAACACCCGATTTATCAGGGCGCTCCGTTCACGTCCCTGTAGTTATAGGTGACACAACGAAAACACCCGATTTATCAGGGCGCTCCGTTCACGTCCCTGTAGTTATAGGTGACACAACGAAAACACCCGATTTATCAGGGCGCTCCGTTCACGTCCCTGTAGTTATAGGTGACACAACGAAAACACCCGATTTATCAGGGCGCTCCGTTCACGTCCCTGTAGTTAT